TGTGTGTGTGTGTGTGTGTGTGTGAAACCACTCTGCATCGTGTTACTTTTTATTTATGACGTCAAACGCTCGGAACAATTAGTTTTTCTGTGGTCGTTTGTTTTGTGACCTGAGGTCAAAGGTCAGGTCTCTGCTGTGTGTCAGTATGACAGGCTGCCTCACTGTGCCCTGGAGGGGGGGAGTGGAGTGTACGCAGACCACCCCCACCCCCACCATGCTGCTGCCCACTCCCTGCAGGCCGTTCACCTGACCACCCCCTCGTACCCTCCACACCAGTGCTCCCAGTCCACCCACAGCAGCCGCAGCATGGACGCCACCGCTGGGGACAGAGACGCCATTTATGGGTAGGAAGTGTGTGCTTGTGTGTTCTCCAGGCTCCGCCCCTCTCACCTCATCAGTTTAAAATCTGCTCCATGTTTCATCTCCATTGTTTTCTTCTTCTTTTTTTATTTCATTTTCAGTGTAAATGTAGAAACGGTGTTTCAGTGTTTTTATTTTCCTCGTTTAAAGTGTCTCGTTAGAAAAAGTCGATGGAAACGTCAATGTGAAAATATTCACGTAAATATTTTTTCAAAATAAGAGTTTATGTTTTATGTGAGATGGAAAATCTGAAGAGAAAACATTTTGACAAAGCGAAAGTTTGATCAGCTGTTTGACCACGACGACGCTAACGAAGACATGAACTTCAACAAAAGAAATGTGAGGCCTCACGTTTCCTCTGGCTGAGGATCAGAGCGACTTGTTCAAGGTCGTTTTTCTGTTTGTTACAACCATATGTACTGTAGCTTATATCGCCACCTGCTGGCGACTCTACACATTTTCACTTTTTGACGAGTCTGGAAAGTTCTGTTTTGATGTGATTGGTCACGAGACACAAACCAGCATCAAGTGTTTGAAATAAAATGTTTCTTCTTCAGAAAAGTTCCAACAGATGATTGTTGTGGTGACATGTTGATGTCTCTTCGTAACTTTGATGAAAACAGTTTGTTTTTCCTCCTCCTCCTCCTCCTCTTCCTCCTCCTCCTCCTCCTCCTCCTCCTGCTGCAGACATCCTTTATTCCCTCTGCTCGCTCTGATTTTTGAAAAATGTGAGCTGGCGACCTGCACGGCTAGAGAGAGCGGCGTGGCCGGGGGAGACGTCTGCTCCTCGGACTCCTTCAACGAGGACATCGCCGTCTTCTCCAAGCAGGTCGAGAGGAGCCGCATGAATGAAATCAAATAGTGTGTTAACATCAACAGATCAGCAGCTTCGTGGTAATACAGAATAAAATAAATGAAATAAATCCAAGGAGGCAGGAGCAGAAGAATCCTGAAACACTGTTCATGATGTGATGAAACATTGGGTCATGTGATCAGTGTTTCTGTTTGAGTGTGAAACGAAGCTTCATGTTTGAATCATGTGTCTGAAAAGTAACTTTAGCTGTAATAAATAAATACAGTGATAAATGTAATGGAGTAAATGTATGTAAAAAGTAAAAGTTACTCGACGATAAAAATCACCCCAGTTAGTAAAAACACTAATTAACAGGTTATATTAACACAATTATTAATCATGTGTTGTTGTTTTATGGTTTCATTTGTGAAATGTAATCAATTGTGTTGAAGACATTTTAAAATATGAATTACATTTGAACATGACGCTGACGTTTAATAAATGATTAAGTATTAATGTTTAATGATTCGTTTTCATGATTCACACAGTTTTTTCTGATTCTCGGTTTAGATCCGATCACAGAACCCTTTGTTCTCATCAAACCCAGAGCTCGATCATCTGGTGAGTATTTTTCCTTTTCCTTTAAACTGAAAGTCAAATTCTTTCTTTCATCTAATGTTTCCTGTTTCGCTGGTTCCTGCGGTGAACGTCCCGCTGGCGTTTCCGTCGTCAGAGACTCTGGAGACTTTTCAACAGAACCTTTCAGCTCAGGTTCTACAGATTTTAGAGACACGAAGCGTTTGAAGATTCTACAGGAAATGACATCACAGATGTAAAAATAGCAACGTAAAGACTGGAGGACTATTTCTACTGCAGAGGTCAGAGGTTAAAACACTGTGTGTTGATGATAGTTTTGTTGCAGATGATTCGGTCGATACGAGTCTTTCGCTTCCATGTGCACGAGCTGGAGAAGGTAAGAAAACCTGAGATCTTTTCTTTATCTGCAGCATCTGCTGTTTCCTCTAAAGTGATGAGATGAGAGTCAAGATATCCGCTGTGCACGTAATCCAGGTTCAATCATGAATCAGATGTAAAACACGCCTGTGATATGTTCTACATCTACGTTTCTTTCATCTATGTTCGTTCTGACCTTTACATTAAAAAATGTTTCCAGGTTCATGAGCTTTGTGATCATTTCTGCCATCGATATATCAGCTGTCTGAAAGGGAAGATGCCGATCGATCTGGTTATTGATGAGAGCGACGGAACCAACAGCGAGGACTTCATCAGGACGTCACGGAACCACCTGGACCAGGTGAGCTCACGGTGAGCTCAGGTTTTTAGTGTGCAGTGGTTTTACAGTGTGTCCTCTGCAGATTTCATGGAGCAGAGATCACGATGACTCGGCATCGAACCATTCCGGCGGGACACCGGGACCGTCCAGTGGACACACGTCTCACAGCGGCGACAACAGCAGTGAACAAGGTACGACTGAGGTCACTGCTGACAGAGCTTTGGATTGGCTGTTATTCATCTGGCCCCGCCCCCTCTCGTCACTGGCCCACGGTGAACATAAAGTTCTGTGATGGTTCAGGGACAGCTGACGGAACAGCTGATGTTCAGAGCGACAAGGTTCACTCATATTCACAAATAGTTACAGAAGTAGTTCTGCCACAGGGGGCGCTGACGCACATTAAGACTATCAATGACCAATCAATCCATCAGTCACACATAAACATGAGGAATCAAACTTGTGACGTCACCGCAGATTTTACATCATCACTCGTCTCTACTTCTTCACTTGTGTCAAAGTTTAAAATTTTCAGTTTTTTAATTAAAAAAATAAACAGAAGGGCGGGGCATCATTTTTATGGTTATTTCCGCTGCCTCTCCATTGGCTGTCAGGACGTGGAGCCACGCCCCCTACCCCAGCCTGTTAGAGACGCTCAGGATTAAATGAGCCTCGTTAAAGAGAAGGCTCCTGCCCTTGGGGAGGGTTCATGGGGGAAGTCGTGTGTTGGCTGACGCCTCGTTCAAGTGCTAACGTTAGCCAGCTAGCCTCTGCTGCCAATTTGATGAGTGGAGGATAATTAACTGTCGTGTTGGTCAGGTGACCGTCTGGATAACGATGCAGCGTCTCCCAGCGACAACGACGACTCTGACAAATTGCACAACAAGAAGAGAGGAATCTTCCCTAAGGTGTCCACGAACATCCTGAGAGCCTGGTTGTTCCAGCACCTGACGGTCAGTCCATCACCTGCTCTGTCCCCGCAGGGGAGGGTTAGTGTCCTTAATCAATCAATTGCCCTTTGGAGTCATGGAGACACGCGTCATCGCCATCACATTAAAGTGCAGCTGTGGACTTTACAGCAAAACCACAAACCTGCACATCACTGAATCTGTTTTCATACATGAGCTGAAGTCCTCACATGCTCCTCACATGCTCCTCACATGCTCCTCACATGCTCCTCACATGTCCTGTATGTAAATGGTTGTATTTATATAGAGCTTTTCTAGTCTTGAAGACCACTCAAAGCGCTTTACACTACAGTTTTCCATTCACCCATTCACACACACATTCATACATCTTGCCCAAGGACACTTTGGCATGCAGATGGGAAGACTGGGGATCGAACTTCCGACCTTCTGGTTGGAGGATGACCGCTCTACCCCTCAGCCACAGTGACATGTGAGAAGAAATGTCTGAGTCAGTGTCTCTGGACATGTTCTGGATCTTCTCCTGCAGCTTCTAGTAAAACATCTGTAAAATGTCAGAGTGAGTCCCTGAGAGAAAACATCTGGAACCTTCTCAGTGAGCGAGTGGGCGTGTCTAACACGTGACGGACGTGAAACTGAAGAACACAAATGTCTCAGGACGAAGAAGAGGAGTAAACAACATCACTGATCTTTCCACAGCAGAGTTTATATTTATTTATATACACTCTGCCACCAGGAGGATCATTTCATAACGAACTTAAAACGGATGTTCGTCTGTGAGGTGGATTTTCCTGTGACCAGGACCACTTTTCTTTGAAAGTAGTATTTGAGTGGAATAAAGCTTTTGATTCTGGGTCAGTCCTCGAGTTCAGCTCACATGACGAGCAATGTGTGAAATGATCATAACAATAATGTAAAAAAGTCACAATTTAATTATCTAAAAACAAACTTAGTACAAAGTCGTCAGAAGTCAAATAAAACAGTTTCCAGTGTCTCGACAATCGTCTCTAACTCTAACACAACATCCAAACCTTTATTTGACCTTAAATGATTCGATGATGGTTAACGATGACGACTGCAGTAAAGGTTCTTCATTGTAAAACTAAGCTAAATGATCGAACATTAACTTTGCTGTTAAACTTCAGTTCTCTTTCTTAACATCCATCTTAAGTCCTTTTCGTAACAGTAGAGGGCGCTGTCACAAAAACAGGTTCTTGAAACTGCAGCCTGAGGTCGTGTTAACGCCACGTGACCAGTGTGCGGACGTGTGACGTGTGTTTTCAGGTGTGTTGGTGTGACGGATCAAACGTTCATACTCAGATTACTCATCTTACATCAGTAGAACACACACACACACACACAGTCTAATTAACAGGGCCTCATTAATTATGTTGCATTTCATTTGTCCTTAATGAGTGAAGCCCCGCCTCCTCTCCTCAGCCGTAATTAGCGGCCGTGGTGACGTCTCTGTTTTGTCCGTCTGCAGCACCCGTACCCGTCGGAGGAGCAGAAGAAGCAGCTGGCTCAGGACACCGGCCTCACCAACCTGCAGGTGAACAACTGGTGAGTCAACCACACCTCCCACCCTATGGTCCCACCCCAACTCACAGAGGGGCGGGGCCACCTGACCTCACGATTCACCTGGAGATTTAAAAACTGAATTCATGTTTTTATTTTTCAAAATGTTTCAACGACTCCGAGAAATCCAGTTTGATTCAAGGTCACATGTCTGAGCTATAACTTCAAACCACAAATGAGTCACTCAGTTAGCTAGTCAGTAGGTTAGCTAGACACTCAGTTAGCTAGACACTCAGTTAGCTAGTCACTCAGTTAGCTAGTTAGTARGTTAGCTAGACACTCAGTTAGCTAGTTAGCTAGACTGTCAGTTAGCTAGTCAGTAAGTTAGCTAGACACTCAGTTAGCTAGTTAGCTAGACACTCAGTTAGCTAGTTAGCTAGACACTCAGTTAGCTAGACAGTAAGTTAGCCAGTTAGCTCTTTCCTGTTGATGAATCGTTGCTGTGTTTAAAGAGTTGTGTAGATTTTGATATGCGATGGCGGACGATGTTTTTGTTGATGCGTCGATGTCCGTCAGTAAATCATTTTTAAACTGCCCCTCTCTTCTGTTCGTCAGGTTCATCAACGCCAGGCGGCGAATCGTCCAGCCCATGATCGACCAGTCCAACAGATCAGGTTCCACATTTCATACGTTTGGTCACAGGCACATGAATCTATGGAAAAACGAATTCTCTGTGCAGAATCAAATGTCCCTCTGCCCCCGCAGCATTAGCTCCACACAAAGATGCTAATTGTTTGACTGAACATTCTAACCTGGGATTAAAACAAATAGGAGTCCAGCTAAAGCGCTGCAGCCTTTTAGCCCCTAAGCTTCGTTAGCACGTTCAAACCCCTCACTTCCTCCAGAGATGTCACTTTATCAAGAGGACTCCCCCACGACAACGTCTCCTTTAACGATCCTCACTGATTAATCATTAATGACACACTGCACCCCCCC